CCTACATGAGAAATGCGGACTGTCTATCTCAAAACTACCTGTTTTTTTTTTTGTTCTATAAATCTCAGGAGGGTGGTAGTCATGTATGATAGATTTCATCCCTGTACATAATTTCTACTGACAGTGTTACAACTCAGCCCATGTTACAACCTTCCCCAGTCTTCCTTGTCTGCCATAATGAAGCTGGAGAAGTGAACTTGCAAAAAATGGATGTTGAGAGATATCACTGTGTGTACGAGTTTCAGGACAGGCCATGATGTGAAAGCAGATCAGAAAAAGTGTTTAGAGATTCTGAGGAGACCTGCCAGAGAGAAGCCTATCAAGATGTCATGCCAAGTACAGCAGTGAGAGCAATCTGCATCACAAAAGAGGAGCATAAACCAACCCAAGAGCTGATCCTTATCACAAAAAAAATCAAACATTTGAATGAACTGATAAGATAAACATGATACGGTCCATGCCAGTCAAGACACAGAGAACTAAAAAGCAAAATGCTTCACAAATGACCTCTGACCCTGAAGTAATCTGCTTAAGTTAATTGAAGTATGACGCGCATGAGAACGGATATTAAAGTTTAGAAGGAAACTCTGTGAAAACAGACCGAGTGTGTGTATTATTGTGGTGTAGCTCTTAAACATGGGGCTCTGAGAATTAAGTTTATTTACAGTTAAACTGACATAGCAAGCACAAAACCTTAAACAACCTCAGCACAACGCAGGCAAAGAGGACCATATCAGCAGCTGGCTAATGGAAGTGCGCCAGACCGTAAGTGAATGTGTCCATGCGTGTTTTAGAGTATATTTGCAGTGTAAATCAAAGGAAAGAGACATACAGAGTTGAGAGATAACACACAGCATCAGATCAGAGTTCATTATGAGCTAATATAAATCATTAAAACGTGTGTTTTAATGATTAGAGACAGCAGCTGAACTCCGACTGAAAGTATATGGCTCTCCCTCTCTCATGTTCTTTCTCACCCCCCTACCCACCCAACTTCGTATTGTAATTCACTCTGACAATCAGCATGAATTGTTTTGCTCTGGCATGTCAATCAAGTCAGCTGTGATTGCTTACAGACACTTGGACGGTCGCCGGGGTTAGCTAGGTTCCAGATCGGCCCGTCCTGCGGACATGCACACACAAAACAGAGGAGAACATTGAGTATTGATGCTATTTTGGCCCGTGTGGCCAAAGTCCCCCTCCCTCTACATCTCTAGGTCCTCACTCTTTCTCTCTTAAGTGGGTTAAGAGCCCCGATTTGGCCAAATACACTTCAAACAGTAAATCTCGCTATCTCTGGAACGTTTAAATCTCCAGAGTACATCTCTAATTATACTTGCATGTGCACAACCACAGGGTGTGGGAGAACATCATGCATGTTGTGTGTGAGGCCCTGAGCTATTTGGTTGTTTTCTGCCACTGTGTTTTTTCGGATCTGGGAGTGGTTCTTTACTGGAAAAACTGCACAAGAAATCATGAGATGCTAAGATTATTGATGCTAATATGTGCTTATATGTGTGTGCACCCATTGGGGGTGTGCATACAGAGTGCAGCCAACACAAACTTTGACTGAGCCCTGAAATGGGGGTTAAGGATTACAAGTCCATTACCCCAAGGTATATGATGCAAACATATTGTACACCAACACACACACACACACACACACACACACACACAAAATATTTAGCACTGCTATAAAGAGGAGAGCATAGAGATCTATCTCACTGAAATTAAATACATTCTAACAAAAATAGAGAGGTAACGTTAAAGGTGCTCTTAGTAAGTTGTTTCACTTGTCACGCAAAATCCTGCCCAAGAAATAGAAATGACAGAAATAGTCAGAGTAATAAGCTAGTATATGCTAATATATGACATAGCAGGGGTTCTCAACCCACGGCCAATCACGAATTCAAATGCGGCCCACCATGCTGAACACAATTAAAAAAATAACTTTCAGTTTTACAATTCATTTTTGTTTTTACATTAATTAAAAAATGTACTAAACAAATATAAGCTATAATGTTTCTGTTATGTAAAATAATTTAGTTTTTCATATATTATTTTCAGACATGAGCAGACCTGTAGCCTACTCACGTAATTAACGTTACGCATTTAACGAACACATACAAGCGTGCACTTTGGCAGAATTCAATTCAAATAAGTCATCAGCATCCATTAGTTCGGTAAAATTGAGCATCAGAATGGACAAATTTGTTATTAAGGGAGAAAAACGAAATGTGGAAAATGCCAGCGAGGGAACACGTACAAACAAGAATAATCGCAGTATCAGCAGTGAAGGAGTGCTGGACGTTCGGCATCAACTTTTGGTTTGCCCTGCCACTCACTTGAAGATGTTCAGGCAAAAGGAAACACCCATACTACGCAGCAATCATCCTTACTTGCAGAAATGTGGCAAAACATCACTGGAGAGAACCTCAGATTATTAAATTCGAAAGTGCTTTCCATATTTGGATCAACATAGGCTGAGCTGGATTATCCAATGGGCATTATGGGCACAGGCCCAGGGGCCCATGCGCACTTGGGGCCCAAGCAAGTGTCTATTTACACTAAGTGTCTACCTTATTGGCATATGCTATTTACACCAGTTCCGCCCACCAATGTCTGGTTAATATAAACAAAAGAGGTGTTTCCAACAAATAGTACCATATAATTCAAGACCTTGATTGTGTGTGTGTGTGTGTGTGTGTGGTGTGGGGTGGGGTGGGGGGCTTTACAAGACATTGTGCCCAGGGGTGTCTGAATTCTTAATCTGGGCCTGAACATAGGCTACATTTGTGAACGCACATTTTCTGCAATGGCGCGCGTCAAGTCACGCTTCCGTGCGCGTCTTACAGACTGCAACCTACAATCGCAGCTTCATTATGCTGTTACTCCTTTCGAGCCGAATTTCACAAAATTGGTCAGCTCCTGACAGCATCAGGTGTTTTATTAATGGTGAGTAGAATTATTTATTTATTTCAATGAATGTAATCGATAAGTGTCTATTTACACTAAGTGTCTACCTTATTGGCATATGCTATTTACACCAGTTCCGCCCACCAATGTCTGGTTAATATAAACAAAAGAGGTGTTTCCAACAAATAGTACCATATAATTCAAGACCTTGATTGTGTGTGTGTGTGTGTGTGTGTGTGTGGTGTGGGGTGGGGGGCTTTACAAGACATTGTGCCCAGGGGTGTCTGAATTCTTAATCTGGGCCTGAACATAGGCTACATTTGTGAACGCACATTTTCTGCAATGGCGCGCGTCAAGTCACGCTTCCGTGCGCGTCTTACAGACTGCAACCTACAATCGCAGCTTCATTATGCTGTTACTCCTTTCGAGCCGAATTTCACAAAATTGGTCAGCTCCTGACAGCATCAGGTGTTTTATTAATGGTGAGTAGAATTATTTATTTATTTCAATGAATGTAATCGATTAGATATTATATGTAGGCTATAATATTATAAATCTGGTTGGTTTGTATATGTAAATGATGCGTGCAGCCCGTGAGACTTGCACTTGGACCATAGTGCGGCTTGAGAACCACTGGTATCATGCCATTCTGAAGTCAGTGATTTATCTGCCACAGCTTATCAGGCTAATCGATTAAAGGCATACTAAACTATCAGGCTAATTGGTCAAATTGCTTACTGAAGCTCATCAAAATCATAAAGAAAAATATGCATGAGTTTGATGGGGTGTGGGAGGATTTGTCATGACACCAGATCTTATCATTGGTTTTGGACTGTATACTGACACCTACTGGCATGGATGCATGACCTTGTATACTAACTGCTGCCACTTCATTTTTTCTCCCTTTTGTCTGCTATTCTTGATCATATACACTGTAAAAAAAAAATAAGTTGATTCAACTTAAAATAATTTGTAACCTGGCTGCCTTAAAATGTTGTGTTCAATAAGCTAAAAAACATTTGTTGTTTACACATATATTGGAGTTCCTTAAACCTAGAATTAATAGTTGGAGTAACAAAGGTGAAGTGGAGTTAACTTTATACTTTGTTTAACCAACCAGTTTTTAGTTAGCCCAACAAGACGAGAAAGTTGTGCTAACCTAAATTCAAGTTGAAACAACATAAAACTAGTGAGACCAACAAACATTGAGTTGTTTAAACTTAGCATTTTGTTGAATAAAATTGTAAGTATAAGTTGTGCAAACTAAATACAAATTGGTCAAACTAAGCGCCTTGTTGAATTAACTTATATTTTTAAGGCAGCCAGGCTACTTTTTCAAGAATAGTTCATCTCACTAGTAATGTTTAGTTAATTCAACTGGCTGAACAGTTAATTTGCCCACACAACTCAAGTTTCTATTTTCTACTGTACCACATAAAATTGGTATGGACATTTAAGAACATGCAATGTATTTTATTTTCTTTCAAAATTGACAGCATGCCATTTAGTATTAGTGTGTTTATTATAAAAACACTTTTAAAAACAAACATTGACATTTCATATTAACTGTGGAGTAGGGCTGCACGATTTGTGTGAGCTCTCTCTTTAACTGTGACAAAAGTTCACCATGTCATATTGAAATCAACTCTCATACCTCCTTTAAGTAATATAGGAGTCCAAGCAAAGCAGCCGCTCGTCTCTTCTGGTTTAAAGTCTCAAGACACACAAAAAAAAAAAAAGTAGACAAACTGTGATGACTGCAGAACCAAGCACGCTCATAATTATGATAAAACTGCTTTTGAAGAATATTGAGCAGAGTGTGAGTGCGCTATTGATTAAAGGGGTCATATGAGACGATTTAAATTTTTCCGATGAGCTTTGTAAAAATCGACGCACTTCAGAAAGGCGGGGCATAGAGGAGAAACAATAATGTACAGTATGTGGAAAATAATGTGTTTTTTGTGCCTTAAACCGCATAAACATTTCATTACACCAAATAATGTTATTTTTAGCAGCATATGACCCCTTTAACCTCATGCACATATCTGCCGCCCTGATTTCTAAATATCGGCATAGACCAGAGAAACACACATCAGTCAACCTCTAACAATGATTACCTACTTCTACAAGAGACAGAGTGTTGTTTTTTTGGTTAAGGTACTGTGATCAAACAAAATAAAATCATCCTTACTTGTGCATCAAGGGGTTCAAGGAGACTGCGCAGGTCAGAACTGCTACTAGTTCGCACTCTGTACATCTGTAACAGTCTTGGGACATATTTGTCAAGTCCATCAAAGAAAGACTGCTGGAGATCAGTAGAAACCAGGCGCATAAACTCAGCACCAATCTGTAAGAAGAAAAAGAGAGAAAAAAAAATTAAAGTACATAAATATAACAGCATAAATATGGCTTTGCCTATAGACAATTAAAGTGTAAAATTAGTTTTAGCTCTAACACAGATACATACAGGGGCGTTTAAAAGCCACGTCTATCAGTGGATCCTTAATTTTAGACAGAGCCGCTGATGGATGTGTCTTTTAAACGCTGCTGTGTGTAAGCCCTGTGAAGAGTGTGAAGTTATGATAATTTTAACCAATCACAGACATATCTGCTGTGCATGTGAACACAATGGTCAATCAGGGGTGTTTAATTGAATGCTCATGGGAAATGCTGGTATCGTCACGTTTTTAAAATTTCAGTACCGAAGTCGGTACTTTTGACAACCCTATTTTGAATGTATTATTTGAAAAATAAAAATTACCTGTTTTTTTTAAAAACAGTGCAGGCCATCTGTCTTTGATTTCAGACACAAGAGGTTCACCATGAACAATCTCCTTCCTTCGCAAGGCAAAGGTGCTCTCCATCAGAGAATCTATAATTTTCCTGTCTCTCTTCTTTTTCTTAATTTCTTCCATCAAAGTTAATCTCTCACCTTCAAGGCAGTCAGAAGACTTCCCATCCGGAAAATCTGGCAAAAAGTTCAGCTCTGACCGTTTTGCTTTCTTCATTTTTTTACCCAATGATGTGCCTGTAGACCTCTTATGATTGATTGTAAGCTCTGGGCATCCTGCAATACGATATTTCTGACGGAGGTTACCCATTTTAAAAGCGAGGCTGAACTTCCAGCAGTACCACCCATGGGTAGATCCTGGCTCTCTCAAACAGGGATGCTTTTCGATGAGGACTTGAGCAACATCCTCAATTTGCTTGGTTGTTGGATATGCATTGTACTCATACATAGCACTTGCTACCTTGTCGAGTATGTCCCTCTTCATAGCAGAATTAACAGTCAGTAGAGAACCATTTCTTTTATACGTCTCATTGCCTTTTTTGAGCTTTAGTTCTACATAGTAAGAGAAAGTAGGTATGATAAATGGGTCAGGCCAGTGTCTGTAGCGAGAGGTTGACGGAGGACATGCAGAGGATGCTGAGGTCCCAGCGGCTGTTTCAGAACAACTACCGTCCAACAAGGCTGCAGAAGTAGGCATATTGGGTGGTTCCTTTACTATTACCTTCAGCCTTGGTCTCTCTGTTGGTAGGTCAGACATTTCAGTCAAGTTGCAGAGTTCATTGAACTCTGGATCTTTAAATTGGACAACAATATCACCCTCTAGATCAAGCCTGTTCTGGAGTATAGTCATCAGTTCATCCACTGTCTCAGGAAGACTTTCAATCTGGACTCTCCGGATGTCATCATCCGCAAGAATGACATGAAACAGCATGCTGGAAACTTAACAGAAACGAAGTACAACCGGGTTTAATTGGGTTTTAACTAGTAGTCTAAATAAGGACTTTGGTATGGGCCCTAACCATTTTCAGTTGGTTAAAACAGCTCAAATTTGAAAGTAGAAATTATTTAGCAAAACAAATACAAGAAGAGTCTGAAATGCATTTTAACCAAATCATGCAAGATGTTTACTATAAAAAGACTTACCTCAGTGAAGTAAAAACACTCTGGGTGACACCATTAGTTTTCCTTGCACCATGTAAGAATTCAGTGGGTGGAAGGAATTCAGATCTTCTGGGTCTGCAACTTGAAGGTCGGTAGAAAGATTCCTTGTCAATTCATAGCATCCAAAGTGCTCCAAGTACCATGATGAATGATGCCTTGTTGTCCACAATCAGTACTTTGACAATTTTGCCAAAATCAGGCAGTCCACTTGTGCTCCCAACAGAAACAAACATCCCCTCAGAGTACTTCGTTCCATGTAGAATCACACTAGTTGCAAGGGACACGGTCTTCACATATTTAAGTCTGATAGCCTTTTTGACGGAGTTATCCAAAATGTTCAAAGAAACCAGAGACACTCTGTCAACCTCCAATGGTGGCTTAAAAAGGCAGGGCATGTCAAGGAAGTAAGCTAACATATGCTGGTGTCTTGTAGCTAATGTTAGCAAAATGTTTTGAAAATTGTTCACGTCACGCACAACTTTTTAAAAAAAGCTGTGTTTCGCTTCAAAGCGAATTGTCCAACAGTCCAGCAAAGGTCCAAAACAACGGATGAGGTAGGGATAATGTTCTACGAAATGATGTTTTGGCCTGAGTTTACAGTCAGGAAATGCATCCTGGAGCAATTGCCTATGTACCGAGATGTTTTCTTCCAAATAGCATAGAGTCTGATCAGTAAAAGAGGGTGTTGCCAAATGTTCTACTACGTCTTTTAATTTAAGAATAACACCCCACGTCACGTCATTTTCTGGGATAAGTTCCCCAATCATCAATGGAATTAGTCGTAACAAAGTCCAGTTCTCGTGACCATTTCCACCGATTGTACCATTGATGCTGAAACTCCTGGGTATTTTGTTTGGGCGGTTGGTCTTATCAGAGAATAAGTACGAGAAATTCTGTATAGCAGAATTTAATTCATCCAATGTGAAATACTTATCGGAGATCAACTTTTTAAGACACAAACTAAGTTCAAATGGTATAATTCCCTCCAAGAGGTCATGCAGAAAGTCAGGTGGGAAACTTGTGACTGTATGAAAGTAGGTCAGCTTGTTCAAAACACAATCACTTTTGACACCATTTACATTCTGTACATGTTGATTTTGTTGAACCTCCAAAACATTTGCCTCATGAGTTAATTTTGTCCTAAGTGGAAATAACCCACCTCTCACTTCATTTGTCTGAATGTCTCTACGGCTTGCTGAACAAAATCTGCAAAATTTATCAACAGTGAATGATTCCTGGCAAGCGAATGAGCTGCTAAATTATCAGCAGAGACAAAAAGCACTGTGCCTTTGACGGTAGCTCCTAACCTCTGAATGAACAGACCTTGGTTTTCAAGTATCTGTATGTCTTTTAAAAGAGGCTGAAGAATTTTCTCATAGCCAAATGTTTTAATATCATTACTGTTACACAGAACTGCAAGGTATATAGATTGCAGAGAAGATCGATATTTGATAGGCAAATTTGCTAGTACCCAATAGACAGCACACACTTTAATTTTTCTCCTAGATGTCCCTAAGGGATTGCATATTTCGAAGTCGTCTATGTACAAGCCAATGGCAATTGACAGCTCCTGTCTTGAGAACAGCGGGTTTTCTTTATAAAATAAGCCATCACGAAAAGTTTTAAAATGACCAGAATGCGATGCAACAGATTCCTCAGCTAGAACTTTGTCTAGAATATCATTTCTATTGAATAACTCTGTTAAAACACTTAATATAGGGACATATACGAATGTCTTCTTCCTGGTAGTACAGTCCAAAATATATTCTACTGGCTCAATGACAGGAAAATTATTTCTGAAAAACCGTGACCTCCTATGGTCAGTGCCAAATGGTCCTGTCTTTGAAAGTAAACAGAGAGGATTATTGTCCCGCAGCGCTTCCCTTACCACAGTTAAAACAATGCTGTCGGTGTTGCAATTATGTTCCCTTAGCACCTTCTCAATTGACCTACTAGTAAACTCTCCTGCTAAGACACCAATCTCATACAGTTCGTTAACTATTTCCTGTGTTGCTGATTTGGACACATGCAAAATTGTTTGCATACGTAGCAATAACGATCCAAGTCTGTGACTAATCAATGCTCCATAATCTTCACTGTAATCATCATCATTTGGAGAGTCATCATATTCGACTGAAACCACATCTCCTATTTGTTCCTCACTGGTTTCTGCTGGACTGTGATTACAAATTAGTTCAGGTCTTAAATTGTTAATCCCATAATTACAGTGATATCTACATTTGTGCCCAGTAAAGGTGGAATACACATTAGACTTAAACTGACACTGCTCAAAAGGACAGATAACGGTTTCTTTACTCTTCAAATGAGTTCCCAAATGAGCAAAGTATTGCTTAATAGTACATGGCTCAGAAAACACACACAATTCACACCGTAACCGATGAGTTACCACACTGGACTGAGATTCATGGGTAACAGTTGCCTGAGACTGATGAACTACTGATGTTTTATGCTTCAACAAATGGTTTTTAAGAGCAACCTGTGTCTTAAAAGAACACAAACAGTCACTATAGATGCAAGGCAAGGGGCAAGATCTACTATAGTGCCCGTGTTTTATCTTATAATGCCTTATTATGCTGCGTTGATTAGCAGAAGAAAATGAGCAGAATTTGCAGGTCCAGTTCATATGACTCACAGGATAGGGTGCTCTGTAGTACTCCGTTCAGCCACCAACTCTGAAGAAAAAGAAAGTCAAAGTAGACTTAACATCTTTTACGTTTGTGCATATATTACTGCTAAAGGGCTTTCAGTAATGTAATATTGTAGTAATATGCAATACTTTCTTGATGTTGCAATGTGTTTGACTGACACTTTTGAATGACGCTAAGAATATACTAAAGTTGATCAAATTGAGTGCCTTGTTGCTTGAATTTAGTGTTTTGTTTTTTGTGATTGACTTTGTACCTTCAAATAATTTTTTTTTTCAATCATTCTTTAAAAAGGTTGCTTAAAATAAACAAGAATTTTTAATATAACATGATGTGAGCTTATTGGGAAAAGTGATGTGCTTATCTGCCATATGCCTTGTGCTTTATATATATATATATTTTACATTTTACCTTATTTGTATAGTTGTATTTTGTATTTAATCTGTACCTATCTGTATTTATGTTATCTGTATGCACCAAGGGTCTGAGAGTAACGCAATTTCAATTCTCTTTGTGTATGTGCTGTACATGTGGAAGAATTGACAATAAAGCAGACTTGACTTGACTTAAAGGGTACAAAAATTCACAGCCAGACTTTTTACATTTAATGTACATCTTAATTGAAATGTTGGCATTTCAAATAAAATGACATATTATGTGGGAGATTAATATTTAATTTTAACAACTTCTTGTACTGAAACCAGTAACTTGTGCACTAAAAATGTGCACAAGGCAGATTTTGGTGACCTTAATTGGTACTTTTACTCATTTAACAAACATTTTCATGAATACAAGCTGGACATAAGTTTGCTCTTACCTCAATTACTGTATTAAGAAGTCTTAATTCAAAACGGAGGCTTCGTCAGCCCTGGCACCTGTTCTGAGGCAGTGGGGTTTCCTTGCCGGGGCTTCTGTTAAATGTCCGTTGTAAATTTAGGCCTATGACCTAAAATATATCACAATCAAATGAACATAAAACTCGAAAGTTTAGTTCTGTTAAATACACGTGGCAATAATGTGCACATTATGGCAGTGAAAATATCATTGACTCATATTAATTCATCTTCTAACGTTTAATACAATTGTTTCAGTAAATTGTTGCCATGTTGTACTAAATTATTAATTCGTTTGAATTAAAATGAGGTTAACTACAATGTCACCACAACTCATTTTAATTAAAGAATTAACGAAATACAACGTGGCCACAGTTAAATAAAACAGGGAACGAATTAAGTCAAATGAACAATCCTCTTAACGTTAACTAATTATAACGAAATAATGAATTCATGAAATGAGAAACGAATACGTGATCATTATAAATATATTTTTGTCCACATATCATGTTTTACATTCCATACAACACTGCCGCGAGGATGCACTGACAACCCGTTTAATATTTCTCTAGTTTACCCTAATTTAAACATTTTCATCAATACAAGCTGGACATAAGTTTGCTCTTACCTCAATCAAGAAGTCTTAATTCAAAATGGAGGCTTCGTCAGCACCTGTTCTGACGCGATGGGGGTTCCTTGCAGGGGCTACTGATAAATGTCCGTTGAAAATGTAAGGCCTAAAATATATCACAATCAAATGGACACAAATAAAGGTTTAACGTTTAAGATGGGTTAAACTGTTCACTCGATTTATTTAGAAATGAGGTAACGTTAACAAATTACATCATGGCCACAATTGAATAAAACAGTCCAGCGAAAGAATTATTAATCATGGACACGATTTCACTATCACGAGGGAACTAATTCATGGCCACTAGACATATATTTTTGTCCACATATCACGTGCAGGGTTCTATAAAAACAGTGGCAAGAGGATTACACTGACAACCCTGTATTTATCTAGTTTAACGTTACACCTTAAAATACCTGATCACTATAACGTTACATATATTTTTGTCCATGTTTTACACTCCGTACAACACTGCCGCGAGGATTACACTGACAACCTGTGTAATATTACTCTTTACCCTAATGTATCAAACATTTTTCATAAATACAAGCTGGACATAAGTTTGCTCTTACCTCTGGAACTCTTGACTCAAAAATGGAAGCTTTTCGTCAGTCTTCAAGCATGGCGACCTGTTGTGCGAGGAAGGCTCGGTGGGCGAGGTTTCCTTGCATTGCCACTCATACAACTAAGAAATCTTTGTTGCGTGAACTACTCTGATTAAACGGATTAGTTGGGCACTGGTAAACTTAATATCTTAAGTGTACCCAACATTTTAGTTGAACTGACTTAGGAAAATGAGTTGGGGAAGCTAAAGTCTCAAATCCTTTTTTACAGTGTACTACATACATCAATAAAATACACAATTTTGGATGCAGTTCCAGCTAGGTGTTGTGCA